TGAACAGTGGAACCAGTCAGCTGGACCTTCTTTAGCAAAAATCCTGGGGGTCTGGGAGGGACAGTGCTTACTTTAGTATTGCGAGTTCTACTTTAGTATTGACAAGGCCCCCTCTCAGATTCCCAGCACTTGCTTTGGTATTGCCAATTCTACTTTAGTATTGCCAAGGCTGACTCTCAGCTTCCCAGTACTTACTGAGTATTGCCAATTCTACTTTAGTATTGCCAAGGCTGACTCTCAGATTCCCAGTACTTGCTTTAGTATTGCCAATTCTACTATAGTATTGCCAAGGCTGACTCTCAGATTCCCAGTACTTACTTTAGCATTGCCAATTCTACTTTAGTATTGCCAAGGACCAGCTTTGACCCCAGAAATCTACGCGCAGCCCACAGGCGGGCCGTCCCTCCAACCCCAGCCCGCCGCGCCGTGGCAAAGGCCTGCAAAGCCTGCGACGGCTCACGAATGACTCATGAGCAGCTGTCACCAAATTCTATCGTGATATCACGCTCGTGCTCAACCCTGCCGTGATGTCTTCTCCAGGCAAACTTGCATTCTCCATCCGAAAGTTTGAGCCATGGCATCCCAGTCTGCGCCTACGTACTAAAAGCCCAAACCCCATATCCAACCATTTGATTGGTAAGCTAACATCTTGCTGGTTGGCGGGGGCACAAACGGAAGGCTTCTCAAAAACGGCGGACCCGACACCCAAATGGTTTCAGTTCCAAAACAAACAGGTGCGGTCTGTTGACAAGTTTGTCCAATCACTGCTTGCGGAAGGACTGTAAACAACCACGGACTGTCAGCAAGCGGGCAAGCACGCAAAGCAGACCTTCACCCGCACGCAGGCTAACCTGCAAGATCACCCCGCCTTGGCACGGGGGGCTGGACACGTCGAGCATTTTCGCACGCGCGGTTTTTACACAACACACGGGATGGGCTGAGTTTCCTGCAGTTTCCCACCAACCAACCAAATGTGAATCCTTCAGATCGGGTCTCCGAGGCCCCTTAACGCGCTTTGCAACCTCCGTAAACCTTTGGGATCCTATGAGATTCATCTAACTCACCTTGCTGTTTGCTTACTCGGGTTGCCGTCATGTCCCGCTTCATCAGCAAAACGAATTGTTGCAGGCGGTCTTAGCCTGGCCAAGTTCTACCTGAATCTTCAGCCCAAACTGTGTCGGAATACATCGGGTACTGGTTATGCTGGCGCTTGACAGAGATTCTGATACCGCTCCCCTATGTGAAGCCATCCACTCCTTCTGCTACCAGACCCTGCTGTTGCCTGTGTTTTGATTTGCCGAGAACGAAGTGCATTGTTCAACTTTTGGATTTTTTTGATTTAAATCTGAATAAGTGAAACATTGGAACTTCTCTGTGGTTGGCATCCCCTGACAGGTTGATGCAATGGAATGAGAATTACCAAGAATCCACACTTCCAAAACAGCTTCCACTTGAAAATAGATGAACTTTCCAAACCCCGTAGGTAAACCATTGATCACAGTATTCTCCCTTTTCTTCCTCGTAGTGCTTGCTCTAAACTACTGGACTCAGTTTCCTGTAGCGACGCTTCATCTTAATTGGGAGCCATGCGTGATGTGTCTAACTCTCAGTGCTTAGCAACTGGTATAGCTTGAACTGTGGCACATTTGACTTCCCATCAGAGATACTGAACAAAGTCAATCTGTCTGTGTGTCTGCTTGCCTGTGTGTCTGTGTGTCTGTGTCTGCGTGTGAGTGCGTGTCTCTCTCTCTCTCTCTCTGTGTGCTTCTGTGTTTCTGTGTTTCTGTGTGTGTGTGTGTGTCTGTGTCTGTGTCTGTGTCTGTGTCTGTGTCCGTGTCTGTATCTGTGTGTGAGTTCTGTGTGTGTGTGTGTGTGTGCGTCTGTGTATGCGTCTGTGTGTGCCTGTGTGTGTGTGTGTGTCTGTGTGTGTCTGTGTGTGTCTGTGTGTCTCTGTGTGTCTCTGTGTGTGTGTGTGTGTGTCTGTGTGAGTGTGTGTCTCTGTGTGCGCGTGTGTCTGTGTGTGTGCGTCTGTGCGTGTGCGTGTGCGTGTGTGTGTATGTGTGTGTGTGTGTGTTGGCGTGCGTTGGTGTTGTGTGTCGGTGGTGTGTGTGTTGGTGGAGTGTGTCTGTGGTGTGTCTGTGGTGTGCGTGAGTGTGTGTGTGTGTGTCTGTGTGTGCGTCTGTGTGCGCGTCTGTGTGTGTGCCTGTCTGCTGGTGTGCGTTGGTGTTGTGTGTCGGTGGTGTGTGCTGGTGGTGTGTGTGTGTGTGTGTTAGTGGTGTGTGTGTGTGTGTGTGTTGGTGTGATGTGTTGGTGTTGTGTGTTTGTTCTATGTGTGTTGTGTGTGCGTGCGTTGTGTTGTGCTTTGTGGTGGCGTGGTGTGGTGTTGTTGTGTAGTGGTGTTGTGTGCTGCGGTGTTGTTGTGCCGTGTTGTATTGTGGTGTCTTGTTTTGTGTTGCGTTGCGTTGTGTTGTGTGTTGTGTTGTGTGTGTGTGTTGGTATTTTCGTATTTTTGTGTTTGTGCTTGTGCGAGTGCGGCTTTGTGCGGTTTAAATCGAAGCCAAAAGGGCAACCAGTTTTTGGGGTCCGAATCCAGATATTCGCTGAAAGTTGGTTTAAGCCTTTAGCCTCCACTCGGCCGCGCAGCTGCGGATGCTGTTGATTAATTTGTTTTCCGTGGGTTTCCCCTTTGAAACAAACAAACACAAGGGTACCAACCCCACAAAAGAACACTCATTTCGATTCTGGACAACTGCAACTTGTGGTTTGGGGGCCGTCCCGGGAAGAAAAAAAACTGAAAACAAAATCCCGCCTCATTGTACCTCTGCTGCGCCGCATAAAGCCGCCCAAAGTTCCGCTGCAAGCTGGACATCATGGAAGAGCTCGCCTCGGGGGAAAAGTTCAAAGAGAAACCACGCATGGCCGAGCCGTGCCTGGTGCTTCAGAATGTTCCAGTTCGCCAATGACAGGAACTCCTCCGCAATTTTCAGGCGCCGCAGGCCCAGGTTCGCCTGACAAGTGCAGCAGACTGACTATACACATCTAAGGACCAGCCACAGGGAGTGGGAGACATCAAAGCGGCCAGGCCCAAGAACTAAAAGCGGCTGTGCATATCCAAATCTCAATATATCACACAGGCGCAACACATCCAGAGCACATCGCAATGGAGTTTGCACAACTCCTTGTGAACCAATTGGGAATGTGTCGAAATAGGGTGAGCTGTCAAAATGCCGGTTTTCGCAACTTGTGTATGACTTTAAACCAAGCTGAACAGGGCACCCCAGCCTCAACTTAAAGAACTCGAGTTTGCCAAGGTCAAAAGACTGCTTTGACTGGGGTTGGAGGGGATGGTCATGATCCGAGATTCTCACAAAAGGCAGCCACCCATCTGGTGGTAGGGACTTGGAGGTCTTGCTGGTTACTTGCCCAACAGTTCCCTGAAGAGCAGAACACGTTGGGAGTTTCTCGCAATGGACCCCAGCCATTTACAGGGAGACTTAGCTCATTTCATTTACCAGGGGAATCCAGCTATTTTAACCCAGAAAGACACCTATGCTGGTGGTTCAAATCTTACTTGCCCAAGGCCTTCCCCTTGGTCCACTTTTAGTGCCCCCAAAAGGTGAAACACCCCAGAAGGTGAAGCTTTGATTTCTGGGTTTTTTGGACAACCGACAATAGAGTTCGGCCCCGAAGGCGGGTGGGTTTTGGACCCCATCTATTTCCAATCAACCTAACCGAAGGACACCGGAATCCACCTATTTCCGGACTGGACTCAAAACCCCAAGTGCTTGCTTGCTGCTTCTCTTCAAGTCCTAAATGAACTTGAGGGCTTCAAGTCCAAACCCAGGAACTCGAGGACTTGAAAGGGCTTGAAGAAAAAAGGTTTGTTCCTGGTTTAGGACTTGAACAAAAAAACACTCACTTTCTTGTTACAATGGAAAAACAACACTAACTTTCTAAAACAAAAAAACAAACGCTGGTTTTTCGACAGGGCCTCGGCCAGCAGCAGGTAGGAAGGCACCAGCTCCGAGGCTTCGGAGCCGAAGACGTCGATGGCGAACTTCAGACCTCGTTTCTTGGCTGGAAAAATCGGACCCCAGCAAAAGGACACCTTTTTTTGCCTGCTTAGTGGAAAACAAAGGGAAAACAAAGGGACCCCCAAAAAGCAAAAAAACAAAAAGGGGAAGGTTTGGTGCAAAGGAGCGGTGCCAAAACCCGGCAGGAGCCTGTACTTGCTGCGGTTTTGACGCAGGGAATGAGAAATGGAATGACCAAGAAAATTGTCCATCCCCGATTTGGTTTCCTGTAAGGGAATCCCCAGGTTTCCCTCATTCCCTGAGCACCAGCAAGTTTAAAGGGCACCCGGCCAAAGACTTTGGCGCTCCCTATTGTGGATGGTTACGAAATCCATTTCGCACCACGAATTGAAACCATGGTTGACATGTGGGTATTTACATGTGGTGGTTGATCTAAATTCCTTTGTCTCGAAACGGCCATTCTTCGCGAATAAAAAAGTTACTTTCGCGAATCTTTCGCGGATTCATCGCCGTGCTCTTTTCATTTCTCGAGTCGGAGAATCGCAGCTTTTAAGTGCCAGCGTTGTAAGCGAAATGACGATTTCCCAACTCCAGCTGTAAAGTTGCAACTTTTCATCACAGGGGTAGTACATGACATGCGCCGGCTGGAAAGTCGCAGCTTTTCGTTCGCCGTGCAGCTCCAGCTTGAAGTCGCAGCTTTCCAGTACCAAGCCAGTATATGTGACTAGATCGGCGCTCAGACTATACCTCCCCTTGCAATCGAAGCCTGCGCTTTCGCGCGGGCTTTCGCGGATCTTTCGCGGAACTTTCGCGAAACATCACCCACGTTTTCAGAGCGGAAAGCCACCGACTAACACCCACAGACACACATACACAGGCTTGGAGCACTAACCAGCCAAGCAGGGTATCAAACTGTAGCCTCACCAGGCTTCATCAGCGCAACATCAACAAAGTGTTTTAATCAGAATAGAAGGAAGGCTCAGCAGAAAAGATGAACGGTTCCACATATCATTGATTAACCAGATACAGTTACGCAAAACTTTCGCGAGAAAAAAAGTTACTTTCGCAACTCCATCGCGAATCTTTCGCGGAGCTACCTCAACCAACGCCGATGGTCACCGAATACTAAACTCCTTACAAGGACCTTTAGAACGACTCCCATGTATTTGCAGGGGAATCATCATTCCAAGGTTTCTTAGGTGCTGCAGGATTTCATCCATCCACAGCATGAATAAGTGGTGGCCACCCTGTAGACATCGTTTTGGGAGATTGATGTCCACCTACCCTTCTTTAGGGTGATTTTTCGTTAACACAATTACCAACATTTAATATTCCCACTTTTGGTAGAACTCGCATTTAGGCATCCGCCGAAAGTTGTAGTTCAACTAAAGCCTTGGTTACGCTTGGGTAACCTTTGTTTGACAATCACTACTTCACTATCCAGCAAAAAGGTTCACTTCGACCAAGCAAGCCCGGGTCACATTTCCCACATTGCACAAGCCCAGAAATCAAGTCAAAGGATCTCCCTTGACCAAGCGACAGCAAGAAGAAAAAAAGCACAAAAGCTAACAAGCGCTCTTCCCGCAACTCTTTTGCCGCTTTGCATGTGGGTGGCGGCATTCTTTGAACTCAGGGCATCCCGGAGATAATGAGGACCAAAGAACCAATGGCTAAGCACTTGCTGGCAGCCCTGTCCACCGCAAAACTCAAAACGCGTGGGCAAAGGGAAACTTTGCGATCAAACCTAATCATCTGCATGAGACGAACCTGTGCAGCATTTCCCAGTGGCAATTCAAATTCCCTCTCCGTTATTCGGAGCTTGCGCTTCTGACTGGCTGGGAAAACGTCTGCACTTGCGTCAGGGACCCCGGACTCTGCAGGGCGCCAGGCACTGCGAGGTCGTACTTCCCCTGTACCTGTGTCGACCGCCGCAAAGCTCTCGCTCTGAAGTTCAACATGTTACGTAGCGGGCTTCACAGCTTGAATGCGGCCACCATTTTTAGTCGATGCAAAGGTGAACCTTTCATTCATGGAATTTCTCGTCGGTTCTAGACCAGCCAGCTTGAACCGATAAGCCCCTCAGCCCCTCGCGAGGAATTTCTGTGCCGTCGCCGTGCATAGGTCAAGCAGCTCCTTTCGGATGACAATGAGCTCCTGCATTGCAATGACTTGACACGACTCTAGCTTTGACGAACCGGACATCTGTGCGGTATGGGCGTTGTTGTTTGCACCCATAGTAAGTTTCTCAGCTGCACGGGGCCTGCCAAACAGTCGGGCTGATTGCGCAAGGGATAGTCCGACAAATGCAGGCTACGAAACAGCACCGTGATAAGCGAGAGCCATTGGTATCTAAAACTGATGCCTGGCAACAGCGATCGCAAGGACGGGATGGACAGCAAAACAGGGGATGCTAGCCCGCCCCCTTCCATGAGTAACCAGCATCCTGCAACATCCACGCAAACCAATTGCCAATCACTCCGCGCCTCTGCTCGTCTTTTTCTCTCCTCCTCTGAGCCGATCATCTTTGGTGGTGCCCGCAGTACCACAATGTCCTCTCAATGGGCCATGTCCAACAATCCCTGGGCCATGGTTCCTTACTTGAAACCCTGGCCGTCGGAATTTCCGAAGTCCACCAACCCGAAGTCAAAGCCTGGTTTGACCAAGGGACCGAAGGGCAGCACGGGGAAAGACTCAGCGACCAATGCTCAGGGGAGACGGCATTCCAAAACGTTTCGATGGTGGAGAATTGAGCTACAGCCAGCCCAGCAAGCCAGGATAGTGACAAACCAAGGTCCTGGCTGACAATGCTAAAGCCAGGGAGAACAATTTGGCCAAAGCCGGGACTGCTACTGATGCTGGTGATTCATTCTATCCTTGGCGCTTGCCAAATGAGCCAGCAAAACTTAAGGCAAAAGCAAGGTGGTGCTACCGCACTGTGCCCCCGCCCATGAGAAAGGACACGGGTTGCGCAAATCCATTCTTCGCAAACAAACTCAGTGGTTTGCGCATAGCGCTCGAGCTGCATCTGAAGCTGACTCAGTCACTAGCTCTTCCAAGGTGCTCTGCGTGTTCAACATGCAAATTCATGGGAATCGCGACCAGATTTAATGAGAGACATGGCCATGCTGGCCATGGGCCAAAATCCCGTACCCCAGTGAACATTCGAATCCCCACTAAAATCGACTAAAATGGGTGGTCCACCTACCCCAAAAGTGGTACCATTGGCTTTGACCCACAGCCACATGAAGGCATGGCTGGCGGCCCAAGCCGAGAGTCTAAGCCTGTTGCAACGCGTGCTCTCACGGCTCCGGGCGGACGCTGTCTCACGCCCACTTGCTGCGGCAATGCTACGGCACTTTTTACACGAGATGGTTTGATTGGCATACTTGAAACTGGCAATGTGCATAGGTCTCATGGATGGGTTTTCCTTTTGGTCTCCCTCTGAAAAAAAAACAAAAAACATCTGGCAGTGGGTCATGGAACCAAGGACCAAAGCCATGCGGTTTCCGGGCTTCAGTTTGACCCACAGAGTTCGAGGCCAGTCCTGGGCTATGAGATTGCCGATGCCTTTCCACCAAACATCGAAGTGCTCCTTGGCGCCGGTGGAACTGGGCCCATTCCGTCGACATTGCGCGTGCGAAGCCAAACGAAAGGGCCCATTTTAGTAGGACATCCTCGAGTTTACCCAAGCTGAATGGCTACTTGAGTGATGAATTCCCCCAAACGAAAGTCTGAGAACCCTCCGAATGAAACCACAATGGGCGAACTGAAAACATACTTTGATTTACCCGCAAGTCCATCTTCATTGTTTTCGCCTAGATCAAATACTCTCCAGATCTGCTGGAGGTGCTGGCAACATTGGGTTAAATCTCCCATTACAAATGTGGCACTTAACTTGAAAATGGCTCACCTTCAGTTTGGCTCACACACGAGGAATCGCAAACCCGGGCATGCTGAACACAAAGCCATTGACACGCGCTACACATACTGAGATACATACAGTATACTACATGCTGTGCGTTTTTACACTTGGATATCTCCTCAGCCAGAGCCTCAACACTGCTCTCGCTTTACTTATCATGATTGCAACAACTCCGACTTGTCTAATACGCTGATTCATCAAAATGAGAAGCCGCGAATAGACCGCATCTTGCAGGTATCACACACGATCACATCTTCACATGTGTGAAAAGACAGCACACACACACACGATGCTTGATACATATATATATAATATATATATATATACATATATATATATATATATATTGGGAAATATATATATATAAAATGTGTAGCACACTTGCCAAGAATGGGCTAGCCCCTTCTTCAAAATAAAATGCCAACAAGGTGCTTGTGGACCTCGACATGCACACATGTGCCCATATTATTGACTCCTGTGCTTCATGCTCTCCCGCGAACTGAGTTAGGTGAGTCGCACTCCCAAAACAGCCCATGACTGCTGGCCAAGCATCATACGTGGCAAAGTAGACGGGGCACTCTGAGCAGACCAGCGTCGCTGGGCTGCCGGTGATCTCACAAGAGTACTTCACCCCCTGCGAGACACACTGCACGTGCCTAACCCGTGCATTTCTTGAAGACACTGAGGGCCCTTTGTCGGCTGTTATCCCTTGGGCAAGCACTCCACCAACACTCGTCGATTGATAGACTGTCAGCTCCAACAGCTTCAGCACTCAAAAGTTCTCAAAATAGTCCCCTTTTGGGGTGATTTTAAAGGACACCAACAGGAAACCAACCAGGTTGGGGTCCCTCAACTTCGAGGAACGCCATTTTTGATAATGCAGTGCACTGCTTACCAACTTATCCCATCCCATTCCTAGTATTGCAAGCTCTGCCTTGTTCCGGGCCAGCTGGTTGATCGGCACCGCCGTCATGGCCTAGATGTCTCAGAGACGTTTTCTGCGCGCAACGAACCCGGCGAGCATTGAACAACACGTACAGCTCTCCATCCTACCTTCGCTTCATATGGACATGGGGCGAAGCTGGGAAAAGCTATGACAGAAGCACACAGTTGTTGTAGTGGAAGGCATCTTCATCTTCAAGGGCAATCTGCAGGTGTTGAATGACCAACTGCATTGCACGCACATGTGAACAGCAACAGCATCAACACACACACACCCACACACACACACACACACACTCACATACGCAGAATGTGTCGGACCAACACAGCCTGAGGCTTGCACTATATGCGCAACATACCTTCCAGTTGCTGCCTTCCATGAAAGAGCAACAATCTCACACCGAGCCAATCATGTCTTACAACAACTTGCGGCGCGTGTTTCGTAGCTGGGTTTGGAGTTTGAGAAGCACTCGGTGCCCTGAGCAGCTCACCAGAACGCGCGCGGCACGCCCGCGGGGAAGTCTGAGAGCCGCAATGCATCAACTTGCAACTTGAGGCCTTTCTCACACCAAAAACACTGGCGCCGGGCAACACATGGTTCAACACATATGGACTATCAGCGCTGGATTGGGTGGGCTGTGCGCTGGCGGCGCGGCCGATGAAGTCGTTCGTAGGTTTGATTTGATGCAAATCAATGGCAGCCCCTGATACCATGCTTTCCAACGCTGAAGCAGAACCTGTCAAGTCCAGGACAGCACACAGCTCTTTTGGATCGTGCATTCCGTGTGGCGGCACCACACGGCGGTCTTTCACCAGGTGTCAGGCTCCGGAAAACTGTCCACCCGCCGAGTTTTGGTGACATCCGTCAAATGGATTGCTTTAGCCTGACAGCCTGGCTTTAAGGGCCGCTCTCACTTGGGAGAGGACCCAAGACATTCCTTGGAAGATGCTGCAGCCTCATGCTGGCAGCTTGGGCCAGTGTCAGGAAATCAACAAATTATGTTGCAGCTTTGGATAAGCATTGTGCGAAATGACGTGCAGCCTTCGCGTGCAGCACCTGCCCGACCTTCTACTGAGGAGACAGCCCAGTCGTGGATGGATATGGGCTCAAACCGGTGCACGGGGCAAACAGTCGCACCTCAAACAAATGCCAACACAAAACAACAGCACCACAAGTCACAAAAATAGTGCCACATGGAAGCCGGCTCGGCATTTAGAAACACACTTGCTTAATCATGAAATCTCGAACGGGAATGCATTCTGAAACTTCTTCGCTTGCGGCAAAGCTAGCATCTGACATTCTGACTACACCTCATGAGTCATCGTCTTGAACAATGCTCTTCTGTAGCCGTTGCCAAGGATTGAGCAGCATACTTCTATATAACACCTTCTGGGCATCATTCTGGTCTGGCTGCAATCGTCTCCACATTGTGCCTGTGCATTGCCTGTGCAAGTCGTTTCCTTGCAGTAGCCGGCAGCTGGCTGCTCTCCTTTCCTCTGAAACAAAGCGATCTCAGATATTGGTGGTAAGCATGACACTCTTCTTCCACAACTAAGCTTACCATGCCCCATTCAGCAAACACGTGACAAATCCTAGTACAACTGGGTCCGTCACGAAACAGCGGAAGGGCGATACCCTCAACAGGAACCAGTGGCGCTTACTTTGGGCCAGGTTTGGGTACGGGGAACCCAAAACATGGTAGTTGTCCGTTCGGTTTCCCTAACCAACCTGAAGGGTGGTTGATTTCCCCAAACGGGAACCTGCTGGGTTTGAGTCACCGGGTCATAACTAAAATGGAACCTGGTCGGCAAAGGACGCAGCCAACCCTCAGTCTGCATCTTGGGCATGGAGAACACGGCCATCAAAAGCTCGCCTGAGGTGCACCAAGCCCTCCCCCATCCGCAAGGTTGACGCTCAGGTTATGTGCAAATCATCCAAGGTTCAAAGAATTCGGGAAACCCCCGACCAATGACACACGTGAACATGTCATGACTCTACAACTGTTTTGTATGGCTTTTCCTCGCGCACCAAACGCAAATGCCAGGCTATGGCCAAATTCTATCCTCTTCAGCCCCATCCTCCTGTCATAGTAGTGCAAGCTTCAAAGACACCAAGCCCTCTAGCAGGAAGCCTGTCCAATGGATACCTATCGGCATTCGCTCAACACGCAGAAGATCGAATCGAAGCACCTGCCTTCCATGCGCTTACAAGCCAATGATTTCCGGAAAGAGGGGGGTTTTTGTTCGACCCGAAGGATGCGATACAAAGCCTGAGAGTCATTTGGTTTCCCTGCAAAACTATCGAAACAAAAGCTGACGAGATCTCCAAAACCGTGCCAAAACCCTCCAACCACCATCCCAAAACCATCCAAACACCACCAACACATCCAAAACCGACCACCACCACATCCAAAACTCAACCACCAACACATTCAAAACCGACCACCTCAAGAGTCTTTTGGCACCGTTTTTTTCCCCCGGCCTGCAGCGAGGCGATGAAGTCCGCCTTCTCGCTGCAGGCGATGCACTTTACGCCCAGCAGCTTCACCTTGGGCCCTTTGGTTTCCCTCTTCCAAGGTATTCGTTGGTTCGGGGTCTGGAGCTGGATGTGCTTTGGGGTCCGAAGCTCCTAACATGGATACCAACATAAGAAACGGAACTTCGGGTTGGGATCCGCCATTCATCTGCAGCGGGGGCTCGAACACTTCCTTTTGGCGGTACTTTTTTTAATTGCCGCGCAGCTTGCAAACGACCGCCCCCCCCCACGTGTGAGATGCGAGGCGTCCATGTCTGTCTTCGGCCACACGTGGCGATAGATTCACCCTACGTGTCTGTATGTGCCAGCCGGGTTTGCCGTCTTTTGGTTTTACTCCCTTTGGTTTTAGATTGCCAAAGTGTATCTTTTTGAGGAGCCTTGGCCATAGGCATGCTCGTTCAGAGCTGACAGGGAACCGGAGAATACTTCATTTCATACGTACCTGTACATCCATGTTGAGTGGTGTGCACTGCTTTTCTATGCCAGGCGACATCGGGCTTGTGTTGCTTTGGAAAGCTCATCATGTGGCTGCACCATGCGCCATGAACAAACAAGTAAAGAAGGAAGCATCTCAAAACAAACATGGCCATCTGCTCCACCAAAATAATTTGGCGCACCCACGCACAAACTGACAAGTACCTTCGGAACAATTCTTGCCCAGCTTCAACGGCAAACCCGAGTGCCGAACCTGCTCCCGGAGATCTTTCAAGGTCCAGGATTGGAAATCCTCCTGCGGATTTCCAGGGAGTGTGCGAGTGTCGCTTTGGCTCAGAGTGCTTCTGTGAACACACTGGCACTGAATGTTGCAAAGCATTGGCGTGGAACGAACACGATAAGTTGACAAGCCCCATTGAAAAACAATGCAGTTTGCTTCCCCTCACATTGAATATTTTTCCGCTTTCAGGGCTATCCTGACCATATTTCGTGGTCATGTTGCAATGTCGCTTGCAACTTGTCATGAGGATTGATAAGGAAAGGGCTACCTTGATGATTTACACAGGTCAGAGTAGTTTTGCAAAGTTTTGGCACCGCCGCCTAATCCCAGACTAAGCGGGTTCCTATGCAGCATGCCACAGAGCTCCTGCTTGACACAGGACTCTTCCTCAACCGGGTTCTCCTGGCGGATCCAGCCGGCAAACTGTTCAGCCCGGGAACCTTCTGCACCAAAATTGGTTGAACATTCGTGACCTATTGCTGCACTGACCCTGTTGCACTTGTTGCCATGCAGTCAAGTGCTGATACTCAGCCAACGATGGCTTTGACCATTTCAATGATGCTCATGAGTGCGTGTCATCCTGCAAACGTAGATGTTCTTTTCCGCAGCTCGCGGGAGACACACACACACACACACACCTTCGGAGAACATGATGCAACACATTAGCCAAGCAACACAGCAACACATGTGAAGCGCAGCTGCATATTGTGCAAAAGGCATGGATCATTGAGTGACAACCCGCACCACAAAATGAGTTGATGGCGAACTGTCTTGAACTCCAGAGAATTGGGCCATGTTGTAGCCGGTGACTTAACCAGCTTTCGAAAACAATCATCTCGCGTCCTTGGGATACAGTATATATATATATATATTATATGTATGGGAGAGATGGGAGGGGGGAGATGTGACTCAACCAACTTTGTTCATTGTAAATATCTGGGTGAGTTATAAATTTAACCAACCTCAAATAAGGTTGGGGGCTATTCCCCATATAAATCACCACTTGGGGTGAGGTCATGCAAAGCTTCTCGCCCTCGCGATCCGATCCGGGCTCCCCGGCTGAAAGATATCGCTCTGCATCCAGCGCGGCCATGGCGCCCGAGCCAGCGGAGGTGATGGCCTACGATGCAGAATGCCACTGAAAAACCCGGCAGGAGTAAAAGAACTGATTCCTGGATGCAAACATGGTGCCAAGAACAGATTCCATGCACATATGTGTGAACTCTTGCTTACCTGTCTCATGCAAACTCAGAAACGGCCCCCTTCATGTCCTAAGACTTTTGCCGACGGCTCACATGCGGTGCCAAGCGTCGCTGACTTTTGCAAGGCTCCTGTTTTCTTTCTGTCAGACCCCCGCTATGCCCTTAATTGCCCTGCCCTTCCCACAAAGGCATCGAACCTGGCTGACACCTGAGTATGTCTTGTCAGGCTTGGTACCCCTTTCAGCTCCATTGAAGGGACGACAGCAACAAAACCTTGTTTGTTTGGTCGCCCTTTTGCGACACTTGCACTTTATGTCTTGTTTAATGCCCGGCCGTGAACACCCATGTTTTGTCTTAAACATGGCGGCGGCTCCGCATTTAAAGCAACAAAAAACGACACGACATGCCACTGAATCCGACCCACCAGTCTTTGACCGTCCCCCGTCCCGTCCTGGCGGTACACGTGGTCCGCCACATCCCCGGCGGCGAAAAGGCCCGGCACCGAGGTCCTGGTGCCCTGCACCAAGATGTACCCCGTCCTCAGCGACTCCGAATGGCTCCTTGAGAGCCAATGGCAACCACTTTCCGATTTTTACCAAACCACTGCCTAGCTCAAAGACTTAGGAGTTGGGCTAAAGCGAAGACCAACCAGGAAACCAAACATGCTTATTCTCCTGGCACATATGGTGGTTGATCTAAATTCCTTTGTCTCGAAACGGCCATTCTTCGCGAATATAAAAGTTACTTTCGCGAATCTTTCGCGGATTCATCGCCGTGCTCTTTCATTTCTCGAGTCGGAGAATCGCAGCTTTTAAGTGCCAGCGTTGTAAGCGAAATGACGATTTCCCAACTCCAGCTGTAAAGTCGCAACTTTTCATCACAGGGGTAGTACATGACATGCGACGGCTGGAAAGTCGCAGCTTTTCGTTCGCCGTGCAGCTCCAGCTTGAAGTCGCAGATTTCCAGTACCAAGCTAGTATACTGACTAGATCGGCGCTCAGACTATACCTCCCCTTGCAATCGAAGCCTGCGCTTTCGCGCGGGCTTTCGCGGATCTTTCGCGGAACTTTCGCGAAAAATCACCCACGTTTCAGAGCGGAAAGCCACCGACTAACACCCACAGACACACATACACAGGCTTGGAGCACTAACCAGCCAAGCAGGGTATCAAACTGTAGCCTCACCAGGCTTCATCAGCGCAACATCAACAAAGTGTCTTAATCAGACTAGAAGGAAGGCTCAGCAGAAAAGATGAACGGTTCCACATATCACATATCATTGATTAACCAGATACAGTTACGCAAAACTTTCGCGAGAAAAAAAGTTACTTTCGCAACTCCATCGCGAATCTTTCGCGGAGATACCTCAACCAACACCGATGGTCACCGAATACTAAACTCCTTACAAGGACCTTTAGAACGACTCCCATATGTTGACCCAATCGAGTGGCCAAAGTCTCAGGGCTTTCCATGCCTTCTCAGGCAACGTGTCTTTTTTTTTTGAAAAGAGGTTGGGGTTTCCGGCGAACGGTGCCCGTGCCTCCCCAAGGTGTCGTTCGCCAGCACCAAGAGTAAGTTCCACATTCAACAATGCCGCAGCTGACTTGACACAGCCCATGAGTCGGACGCTCCCATAAGGCGCCTTCAGAGCAACACACCTGACAAGCGGCTCGTCCATCTCCACCTGACGAACTGACGCATTGTGTCTTTTTGAGTGTCACTTGCAGCAATTCTCTTCATGCCAAATCTTCGCCAGTGCAGACATCGTATAGGATAGTTTTTTGGGTCTTGGAACGCATTGTGCCGGTCTTCAATCACTTGGTACCTCCTGAAGAAGCCCAAGTCGAACAAAAGATGTCAGAGTTAACGCTTCTGCAAAAGGCGTGCATGGTGCTTCTGCATCCATTGGATAATGAGAACATCAGATGTACCTGGAGGAGTTTTTTTTGGTTTTAACTAAAAAAGGGACGAGCCCTGATTGGTATGGTCCTCCGAATTAATCCGGAGTTGACTGTTGTTTGCCCACTTGCCGAACACATGCCAGCCTTTCCCTAGCAAATGACAAATCAGTCAGAGATAGACGAGCGGGGGCCAACCACCTCTCAAATGCTTCATGGCAACCCAAGCAGTCACGTTGCATGCTTTGTTTTTCGCAGACCGGAAGCATTGTGCTTTAAATGCAGAGTATATTTTTTTTGGAGTCTCTGAATGCTTCATGACACTTCAGACAGGTCCTGTTTCCTCATGCGGCCGATCCTTACTATGCGTCTCAAAGTTGGGGACCTCCTAAACTGGTAACTTTCGTTTGGGTTCCCTCTACCACCAACCAACAGGGTGTCCCAAAAAGATGCACACTTATCCGCATCACACTTGCCCATATCCGCGTGCCTGTCCCTTGAAGAGCCGTGTGTTGGGGTCGTGGCCAATGGCAATGAATGCCGCGTCGATTGGCAGCTGGATAGTCTCTCTGGAGTGATCCTGTCTTGGGTGAGACAGTGAGCTTGAGGTGGTTGTACCTTTTTGGTGCGTACCCTTTTGGATGGTTCTAGAGGGTTACCAAGGAAACCAACCATGTTTCTCGGACAGATTCTAAAAAAGGAGCATCCCACCCTTCAACAATATCCAAAGAGGGTTTCGACAGGAACTCTTCAACTGTCCTCGGCCTTTCTGAAAAAGGGAATAACGGTTGCCATCCTCTCATGTGCCCTGCATTGTACTGAACCACGCAAAAACAAAGGCCGCAAGACGCGACGAGCCGTGCCGGCCAGAAATCATGCCTCTGCCGTACACACTCCACAGGGTGTTGGACGTTTTCAGTGCGTGCGAAAACAAACAAATGATTCGGGCACCATGGAAGTGCAATGCTCGCTATGTTGCATCATGATGAAGAGACTGAGTAACAGTCCCTTGCTCTGAAATTATCATTTCCGTCAGAATCTACCTAGACCTTGGATTCAGCAAAGGGCGTGATAGCTGGAGATCTTCTGGCTGGGCTGTTCAAAATGAGGATCCCTAGTCCTAAATCGGACTCCCTAGTCCACTACAACAAACAAAGCAGCTTCCATGTGGCATAGGAATCTTGCGGCTTGAGTTTGAACCTGCCCAGTCTGAAACTTGTTGCGTCTGCGACGGACAGTCCCTACATTTCCCCTATACGCATCGCCCCGCAGGGAAACTCACAGTGCATTGGCCCGAAATGTGATGTCTAAGACCACCAAAATTGTCAGAACAGGGCCACCCAACAAAATGGCGGTGTTCCTTTCGCTTCCCTTTAAACCCAGATGAAATGGGTAGCCTCGAAAAACGGTTGATTTCCATTTTGGCTACCAAAAGGACAGGGAGAAGCTTCTTTGGAACCCCAAACGGCGTCCTGCGTATCCATCAGCTCCAGGTGTGTCAGATCTTTCCTCTCGACGCCCTCCTCCTCTGTGGTGTGACCAATGAAGCGCTTCACTGCGGTGTTCCTGGCGGTGGGCCTCTCCGCGGACACCTACTTGGGTAGATCCCCTTCACTGGATCTTTTGAGATTCTGCACCCTTTTCCCCTTCTTTGTGGGGTCCCCGAAATGTTCGATGCCCACTTGGTAAAATAGATTGCCAGAAAATGACCACTGGATTCTGGGCTCATCAACAAAACATATTGCGTATCTGCTGACCATCCAATAGGATACTCAAGCTCGGTCCCATGGCACTTCCACGTCAGCATCCCGATCGCGGGCGACCGGCGACCGACCAAAGCATGTCATCGGCATGAGTCCCGTAACGTCCCTTAGCCTGCGACAGAAACGTGGCCGAGCATTCGCAGTCTGTCAACACGAGCAAACTATGCAGCCAAGCGACCACCGCACCTCATAGCAAACATGGCAACATATTCCGAAGACAATTGCCAGAGTTCCCTTCAGTTCAATTTGCATGCTGACGGGGCCTGCGGTGGTGGGGGGGGATCCCTACTCCTAATCGGGAATCCGTCACGGGATGTCGCCACAACAGGGGGAACCACTACGATGTGACACAAGGATCTTGCGGATTGAGTTTGAAGAAGCCATCTAAAGTGTTTGAACTGATGTGACGGCCTGCCTCCAACACACCCACACCCACGCAGGTCCCAATTAAACCTGTTTGCAATGGGCTACGACCTTCTCTAGCAATACCTTCCGGCATGCTTCGCCCGAAAATGGTTAAACCACCAGAAAGCCTCTCCTCCAAAGGCAGATGCTCTTCCAAGGACCCTGGTCAGATTGATGTGGTGCGAAACATGTTTCATTTCTTTCTGAGCTTGCATCTTGCTTTACGCCTGCTTCTTCTCTACTGTAAAGGCCTGGAAAGGCAGTCAATGTGTTTGCCTCTTCCCAAACAAGGGTCCTACGTCAATACTTCATGTTCTTTGGATGGAGCGCACTTCAGGCGCCAATTGTGTCTCTCTCTCTCTCTCTTTCTCTGAAAAGTCTCTCTCTCCCCCTCCCTCCCTCCCTCCATCTGAAAGCCAATTGGGCCATGCACCAATGCTACAGTCCCACCCAAATACATGAGCATGACCACCAATCGAAAGACAAGGTGCCGACAACACAACACATTTTACATCAAGACTTTACGTCTGCACTTTTCCCCGCCTGACCCTTGATGATTTCCGCGTCTTGTTGATTGCAAAAAGTCAAACATCCGGCAAGCTTCCCTCAGGTCTCACAGCTTGAATGTTGCAAGGGGCTGAACACAACTAAGGCGATCCCCCACTTGAGCAGCGATAAAAATCGCCCAGGGGCGGGCTTTTCGTCCAGGGGTTAATCAAGTAAGTACTCACAGGACCCCATTTTTTTGGGTTCCTGAAATTCGTTGGATGACTCATCAAGACGCCTGAAATCTCCGTCCAAGACACTCGGATGTGAGGGTGTGACAGCACCCGCTGCTGCAAGACCAGGGACGCTCTGAAGGTATCACGCCGGTGAAGCAGCTCCACGTGCGAGCAAATCCGCGCCAGCATCAGCGCCTAGGTGCTGAATGGAGTTGAATAGCAGTGACACTAAAGGAAAGCTGCTCATGCTGAGGGTTCCCCTATATGCCTGAATATTGCTTATGTTATTTCACCCAGCGATCATTTCTTGGGCCCGAATGCGAGGTAGAGGCAAAAAAACAGGTGGGTGGACAAAACAGGGTCGCCCTCCTCTTTTTGAGGCTACCGTTGGGTTGCTTCAAACAGAAACCAAAGGCAAACCATCCGCGCTGAGGGTTCCCCTATTTGAGACAGACCCACTTGGGCATGGATGTTGCCAATAAGAGAACTCCCGACCACCAACACACGGGTTCCCTATGACCCTATGGGTACGAGTATTGACCCGGTGATGTGTGTCCAACCTTTTTGAAGCTTGTTCCCTGAACTTGGTGGCAAATATGCGAAGCCAAGAAAAGGTTCTGGGTTCGGCTGGCCAGCAGCACAGTGATATTCAACGTGGAGAAATGCAAACATGCTCTTCTATATTCAACTTAGAAGGCGCGTGACCTTGTTTCGGATCGTATATAGAGCTGATTAGTTCAAACTCTTGGTTCGCCCTTGGAAACCCTCAAACTAGTCTGAATCCAGTTTTGGTTTTGTGACCAAAGACATGCTAACAAGATCATTGCCATGCGACACGTGTGACAAGTTGACACAGCTGCAACTGATAAATAGTTGCTTGGTTACCAGACATGAGAAACGGAGATGGACAGACAAAACAAACGATTCATCTACCAAGGAATGTAGACATTCATGGTTCGACCCACTTTTCTGGTGCTTGCGTTCCCAAACTCGCCTAGTTTTGCTCATCCAATCGCAGGGTCGCAAGGCAATATCTGACACGATTGGGAATCCGTTGGTTCTATCATACCCCAATTTTGAGAGAAGCTCCCAAAGCAAGCTACAGCTCTGCCCCATCATCTGCTTCCAATATTTCCCAACATCACTCCACAAAGAGTGGCCACAAAGGTGGCGTGTAAACCTGCTGAACGGAAAGTGCAGGGCCCCCTGCAGCGTAGACCCCTCCCAAGCCCTCCACCTGCCTCCTCCATGGCAGAATCGCCGCCGCCAATGACGGCGCAGGACTGGGCACTGACGTTCAAGGCTGCCAAGTTCGGATCAGTTTTTAGGGAGGGCTCCGGACCGGAGGGCTCCAGAAAATCTGGGCTTAGTCTACTCAGGACAATGGCTGGGTCCCATGGGCGCGAAACATGTGGTAGCGCAATGGCTATTTGTTACACTGCGCGCCTTGTAGAAGCCCCCCAAAATGGAGATCGGTTTCCAATTGAGTTCATTTGACCCAAAACGGGTTCCCCCAAAAAAGACATACTCATGTATTCAAAGGACGACACAATGACACAATAGCAACAAATCATGCTAGCGGAAGTCATGGCCTCCAATAAAGCTGAAGGGCCAAAATCATTAGAATGGGCTTGGGAGGTTCTACATAGGAGCACACTGTAAGTAATTGTTCACCTCTCTTAATATGCGCGGTGAACAGCATGAACTGGCCTTGCCCTTGAAGAGGTAGCCGTCGCAAGCAGCACAGCTGGACACACCGTGGCCCCGGTAGTCCCATTCGCCTTTGACCTGCACGGAACTTTGAGCTGTCGCATTCAGCAAAGAACCTGAAAGCATTGATGCAATGTTGCCACCAACAGTGATTGGCTTGGCGGCTGGACTTTTCTTCCAGCAGCCGGAGACTGGAAGCGACAGCGCAGTTTCAATTTGCGTGTGATCTTCAATCAGGGGCCCTCTTTGTTGGACGTCATTTCCATGAGAATTCATGTCCACCAACCATTCTTGAAGGTGCCCCTGATGCAACGGCCAGTTGCCTTTGACTTCCTCCGCCAACGTCCACTCGGCAGTGGCCCCAAATTCGCTGAGCGCTGAGGCTCCGACATGGAGCCATTTGCTGTTGGCGCCAGTGGCGGTGATGATCCTCGATCGGGGCTTGCGAGCTGCTTCAAAGGCCCTGCTTTGGGCCCAGTTCTACGTAACTGCTGGAGGTCTCCACAACGCAGTCAACAATCAGCACACAAATATGTTTGAGCGCTTGCATCATTGAAGCTGGATTGAGCCATAATATGACGATCTAGTACTGAACCTACTGCTCACCCCATTATTGAGCACTCAGGTCCGAGAAAAATGACGTTTCCAGCAAGTCAATGGGCAAGTCATTTCAAAATGCGAATGAGGTCCACCGGCTGGACTGAACTTGTCAGCTCCTGGCCTGAAGGCTTGTGCTGAGCTCCGGCTGCACTATGTCCTTTCTCCCTTCAATCAGTCTGATCCTTGCCTAAACTTCCAAGAATGTTGAACACCGAAAGTCGAGTTGCAGGTTTTGGCTTTCAATAGGATTGTGTTTGGACCTTTCCCGCCCATTGGCAACTTGCACAACCAGGGTACAAAAATGGGATGCCTAAACCAAAATGGGTTGGAATTGAACTTGCCACCTACTTCTAACCAACTGTACAGCTGAGCGGGCATGGGCCCGTTCTTCAACAATCTCGTGAAGGACCATATCAGTCTTGCTCGACGCTATCTTCCCTGGGTGTGCTATTTGCAAAACGCATTAATTGATATGCACTGTAGTATACGTTTCGTCGCTGTGCTGCTTTCCACTGGCCATTGGCACTCGGGACGTTTGGTTTGCTATTGGTCAACTATCGGCTTGGGCATAGGCTCAAAGCTGCGAGCAACACGTGAAGCCAATCTACACACATACAAACACACAACGATTATCGCTTGTTGAAGAGTTGTGCGATCATACAAACATATACAAACATGAAGAAACCCTGCTCTACAAGTGTCAGCTTAGCAAATATCTTCGGCCTCGTAGACAAACAACCTGTTGACAACTGTGCTAGGAGAGGCACATCCGATCTGCAGTCCGACTTGCGAGCTCTTCTATTTGTACAATGCAAATGTGGATCAATGCTAGCTTGTATAGTTCTTGAACCCGAATGGGAGATTTCCCTGTCTTCAAGCGGGAAGCCTCGGACCCGCTTGCGGTAGGTTTCATGTCATTGCTTACCAAGCTGCGTGTGTGCCTGCACCAAGCCAGAGCTATTGGTGTAGATCCTTGGATGAGCACACCTGTCACCCTTCGACCGTTGTGTAGCTTTGGGCCGATCGGGAACCAAAAGGAAGCCGACCATGCAACCCGGCAATCCAAAGCGCTGACAAAGCTGTGTATCGGAAAGCTGGTGCTGAAAGCATCATGAGCGGCTTGAAGATATGGACTCACACAAACTACGCTGGCCTACAAGACAACCCCTCAATACTCATAAGCTTTGAAAGAACCTCAGTGGCCAGAACAGTGCTTCTTGTTGCGGCAAAGCTGCTGGAAAGGCTGAACACTGGTGTTCACCTCAGGCATGGATGCGAGGTAATTGGCGCCAACATTTCTTTCCAGATAGCACCGCGTCTAAACAAAAACAATGCATGCATGGCATCCGGAGAATGAGGAGCAACCCATCAACCCTCTGCGTGTTAATCCTAGCACATGCACCAGGCACTGCAAAGGGGACACCAGCTACTCAGCGACTTCTCAAACGATACCCTCCACCGAGACCCCAATAATTTCTAGTGGGCTTCGGAATCCGGGCAGATCCTCGAGGGCAAACAAACCGGCTGGCTTCGGAGCTCGCGTCACGTCCGCCCTAGGCCTCCGGGCTGACACGACAATGTCGTCCCAAACCTGGCAGCGATCACAAGATCACGGGCGACACGTCCCCATTGCCCTCGGGCGCACAAAGGCCGCAAAGCCAAATGGGAAGCTTAAATTCTGCTGAGCGCTGCGCTGCAAGCTCTTCTCAAAAAATCTGAAGCGAGGCGACATAAGGTACCTCTCTACCGCAAACAAACGTCTGTGATGACAAACCTGCTTGCAGCACAACCTGATTTCGGTTTCAGATGCCCTTGGCTCAACACCCTGCCTCTGCATAAAAGCTTCGTGCTTGATGCTTCATGACTTGAATCCTGGCGCACTGGGCACAACAGCTCTGGCCACACTGTCAGCAGCTCCGTGAATGCAACACCATGCACTTACGCGTGTTCTTGAATATCATTCCGATCATGGCAAATTCACATTGCATCTCTTGAATCCACACACACACACACACGAGCGCGCGTGCACATCAGTTCAGAGCCAATGCGTCCTAAATGGCCAAGAGCCCTTGCCAGTTTTGTTGCGCCTATCTGCCCAAGGGGCTCCTTCAACGGGGAACACGTCTGCGTGGCTCGACCTGGACATGTTGTATGAGCAATCGCCTCAACAGGACGATGCCTTGTTGTTTAAAGAAAGCCTTGGTGAAGCCTTCTGGTGGTCATCACGGCAAGCCCTGGAACTCGTTGCTGTCCGTCTTACGTCTGTGGCCCGCACATTTCACCACCGTTCTCCCGCGGCAGGCCAGGATAGTTTTCTACATCAACCTTAGACACGCGGCCACGCGCTCAGATTCATTTAATGCACACACACACACAAATGATGCGCTCTGACCGTTTGGAAAAGGCGTCAACAATGCTTCATGAAAATCATGCAATTCTGGCATTCGGTTCTACGGCTTTGGAGATCGGCGCCCAGATCCCAACTCATCTCTGTTCGTCAGCAGTAAAGGAGCGTGCGTTTGCTCCACAAAAGCTTTGATGTGATGCGGTGGCTTCAGTGTGATGAAGAATGCATTAAGACTGCCCAAGATTGAAGCTGTATGACTATCAACAGTCAAAATCTTTCGGGCATCTCCTGCTGGCAAGCAAGTCCCTGGAAGCAATGCCCATGCCACAGCTTGGCTTCGCATGTTCATTGTTTCGTCTTGAGGCATGTCTTGCAAGCTTGGTGTGATACTGCCTGTTAAGACCTTATTGACCTGATCTGCCGAAGCCACAATGCAAATGCGCTCAAACGTTTGAGCGCATGCTTGCGTATCCTCCAGTTCTTTCGCACTGTCGGCTGCCGCGCAAAGGCTTGAAAAGAAAGTTGGGGTTCTTATATCCGCCTGAACAACTCGCCTGAAATGGGCGGCTCTCTTTTGGTTTGGTGTAAAGTTGTAAAGTTGTATCTTTTCAATGGTCAAGCTGTATCTAGCCGACATTGCGGCCCTTACCGGAGCATCGCGCAACAGGGTTGTTGCTTTCCTGGTCAATTTCGGGCAGTTTTTTTTTTCTGGTTGGCGCACACGCTCTCAGCACATCCAGGTGTATCGGGCTGCCTGAAGTCCCCACACCCGTTGCGTCGTCCCCCGAGGCGAAAGCTCTCGGCGCTCGCTCTGAGCGCCCCCGACTCCCTTGGCCATCAGTTGGCCGCCCATGGCTGGCGCGATGACCAGCGGGCAGAGATTGGCCTGAGCCGCGGCTCGAGTGTCGAACATCCCCTGCAGGTTCGTGAGCAGCGACCAAAATCCGTTGACTTTGGATTCCAACATGGTTTTTTAAAGGTTTATTAGGTGTTGCTACAATCCCAATTGAGCCAAGTAAAATTAGTGACTAACATGGTCATGGGCGTTCTGGGGGCTGCTCAAATTATGAGTTCAATTGGATTCTACTCACACGATCGTCCTTTGGTGCAAGCTAGAACGCCTGTTAGAACTTCGTTGAAAATAGAACCCTTTTTGCTTTGTGCTTGAAGGGAAACACCGGAAACAAGCCATGTTGTAGGCACCCATTCTCCAGATAGCTCTTCCCAAAGCTGAAATACGGAATCCCCATGCAAGAAACCTTCATCATTGGGCTCGTTTTCTCCCAGGCTCGTTATGTTCGGCCAAAATCAAGCTGATTCAGCAGCTTGAGTTGTGAGTCAGCAGCACCAAATTCCGGACATGCAAAGATATTAGAATGGGTTGATGGTTGGTTGAGATCCTATGGAAGCAGCATGGGCAGTATCCCCACCTAGCTTCATAGCAAATGGACATCGGCTTCTGCCACAATCCATCTGTTGCAAGTATCACAAAACAGAACCTTCTCCTTCCCATCACACAGCAGCTTGCAGTGTGCCCAGAGTTGGGGGCTCATGGCTTGATACTAAGCTTGTCTGCCAAAGCTGAACGCAACGCAAAAGCTCAGATGTTCATCTACCAGCATGAGTAGAGCCGTAAATGAAGAAGATCATCGTTCGCCACATGAACAAGGCTCTCTATGAGGCACTCCCAAGATGGCCCTGCTATCACAACGGAAGGCGTGAGCCTTCCGCGACAGTCAAGCAACTGGCAACAGTAAAATATGTGCACCCTTTCCACATCTACGGAAGTGGACATTTGGGCCTCTTTCCAGAGAAAGAAATTTCTTCTGCCACCCTGTGCACTCCCATGGCTGCGAGGAGGGCTAGTTACATCCACGCCTCCTTTCGTCACAGATCAAGCCAGCGCCATCCCGCGCGAAGCACGCTACGATGCGCTGCGAACCGGACGGGAGTTGCAGACTGGGCTTCAGGGCGCGCGCGGCGTAGATCGCGGCCGTCATGCCCGCAGGGCCGCCTGCGACCAAAAAGCGCGCAGGCCGGTCCAGCTACCCATTAGCATCGCCTTTTGCCGTCTCTTTGAAGGAGGCACCAAAAAGAGACCCCTCATTTTGACAACGCCCCACTTGAATAAACTGATACACCAAGCTACAGCTGCAAATCCTCAAAACGAGCAGGCTTGCGGTGCAATATTAAAAATGCCGGCGGAATCTATCCAAGCTGCTGCAAATTGGGCCCGTGTGGCATGAAGGACGATACAAACATCTTTCGTCAGAGCTACGCACTTCTGTGCATGCATCCGCTCTTTCTCTCTCTCTCTCTCTCTCGCTCTCTCTATAGACAGATATACATATTATCGCATTGCGCCAGCTCAATGCGACTCTGTGTCAACCAAATGGCATATGACGTGTTTCTTTCACAAAAGAACATGACGTGGTTGTGCAAAAGACGTGTTTGATCCTTTCGTTGCGTTCCTTCTTAAGTCAACACTAGATTCGAAACAACAGCAGTTTAGTCAATTTGTATGACATCTCTGCATGCCTTATAAGAAACTGTACCAAAATATTCCCGTGCTTTGTTTGTGCTCCGGCTTTCAGCTAAAGAACTACACCGAGAAACTTGATGTTTACTCGCCGACCACTTGCCTCCAACAATGACCACCCGCTCGATGGCGCCCACAGTGCGGTTCCGGTAGAGCGTACAGGGGTTGCTGGACAGGCGCCTCTCCTGCATAGCTTCCGTGGATTGCATGGATTGATCTTAGTAGGCAACTCCATTTGCTTAAACCCCCTGGGGCTATAACAAACATATTTCCAGTAGTGATAGATTCCCTTTAAGACCAACAAGGGAAATAACACATGCAGGAAATGGAAGGCAACCAACTGTACACTGGCATCCTTGCATGCTCACAGTAGCAAGGGCTACAAGGCTACTTTCTAGCTGAGCTATGCAAAAGTGATCGGCTGTAATTGTGCCCGCTCGATTAAAGCCGTGTGTACTGCCCATACCGTGCTAAGTCCTCCTCATTCCTCTACACATATGCCCTGAGCAGCTACTTGCAAACAAATAGCATTCTTTCCTTGGAGACAAAACGGCAAGACACTAAAACAGTGCAGGTCCAAAAGATTGCGACAAGTCCAAAGTTAAGATCAACTCTAGCACTTCGGAAAATGGGATGAAGGCAGCAAACCAATATAATACTATATCAAGTCCAACTGTGCTTGGTGAAAGTGTAATCGGAACACGTACTGCATGTATTTGACAATCCAACCGTTCGCGTCGATGCATATATTCATGGCGACAATTACCGGCACTGCTTCACCAACAACAGCACTGCCACCCATGTGAAAGCCAGGCCTTGCTTGTTATAATAAATAGGAGCCACACTTTCTCGCGAAGTGCTTGTGAAATGTCTGTCACTCCACGCTTTGAACTGCCAGCCCAGTGAAAAAAATATAATTGCGAGTACAAATACAATCGTACTCCGCAAGACTGCGGAGCTGCGTGTAAGCTGCAGATTGATCTAGTCATTTTGACCCCTTGTTTTCCCAAGTGGACATGGGAACAAACCGGATGGGCTCCCCATGTCATCCCCACACTAGACCCGCAACCATGTCACTTGCTCGAATGGATAGTAAGTGTTTGAAAGAACAGCGATGCCAAGTGACAAATGACGCCAGCAGACAAGAGCGCGCGAGCTCCTCCTCCTCCGCTTTGGCCTCCGCAGCTTCCTCTTCACGCCTGGCAAGACAAGAAAACTGTGCCAGACTTCACCAATTTATGGGGCAACAACCAAAGAAAGTGACAGAAAGCCGGAAAACACACACACACACACACAAAAAAAAAAAAAACAAACAAACGACTCTTCATGGTCGTTTCTGCAGGTGTTTGTGTTCGAGAATTGAAGGCTCGAACATTGGGACCCTGTGGACATCATGGTGCGGATTTTGTTGTCCTCCGACCACTTGTGAGGTGGTTCCGACTCGTAAAAGGTACCCAACCCCGGCCCGCTCACCTCTCCAACTCGTGCTTCAGATCCTCCAAGCTGGCGGCCTTCGGGCCGGTCCCAATAGGCCGCCATACACACATATATATATATATATATTATGTGTGTACATATGTATATATATATACACATAAATATATGGGTATGTTTATATACAGCGTGAAAGTAGCTGGCAGTAACATGCTTGAATTCATCATATCTGCTGAAGCACATGAAGGGAATTCCATGCAACACCCTGGTGTGCATATATACATTATATATATATATTATCATGGATGTCAGTTGTCAGATCTATGTGAATGGGTGACGAGTGCAAAGTCCTGAGAGCAGCATGCTGAGTGCTTCTTGCTTGGCACCTCAATTTGGTGACTCACGCCACTGGCAATTCCAAACTGCAATTGCCCTTTCTAATTTACCTGCTTCCGTGGTAAACGGCAAAGCTCGGCTCTCAGAACAATGCCGGGCAGGTCACATGCCGAAGCACGCGGATACAAAGGCGTTTGATGCCCGGCTGGGTCAGTCAGTTTGCTTGGTATGGAGCAAACTCCTCGGGCTGGGGAAAAATCAACGAATCACGTCAGGCACCCTCCAGCTGTGCCCAATTCATAGGCAATCAATCGCAACACGATTTGATGGATGCATTTCCAAGCGTGCCCGCCCATTGGCCCATCGCCTGTAGATTTGGGCCTCCTTTACCTGGCAGTTGCTGGAATCTAAATGTGTGGGGGCAACACTGTTGCTCTTTGGCTTCAGCCTTTTGTAGCCCTTGGCAGCCTTGAAAGCTCCCCATCAGTTTGACTAAAAAGAATCACTGAGACTGGTCCTTCAGACAAGAAATGGACAAAGGCCTTGTGTCACGCATGTCTGGCTGACTGCGTTTGGCATGCTTGGCATCCTATTGCGAGGATTGCCTTACCTCATGTCTGGTCCGTGCGTGTCGCTGGCTTGTCCACACAGTCCTCTGAGCCTTTTGGGCAGCGAAGCGCTGCTTTTGTCATTGCCACTTTCAAGACCGGAAGTGATCCGCCCTCTGCCACCTAGTTATAGTTTGCAACTGTTTCTCTTGCCAACCCTTGTACATGAAGCCATGTGCTAAATTGGCTTGGATGGCTGCCATCCACGAATTTTGTCAAGGCCGCCCCCGGAAAGTGCAACGGCAAAAGCAGCAGGGACTGGACTTCATTATCAATTCCCGTTATTCCCCGCTCCGAACAACGTCTCACGTGCCATGCCATGAGCTGGCTGATCGTCTGAACGACAAGGCGACCTTCCCACGCTATGACATGCTGAATGATTCCCGCATAACTAGCATTCTGGTCGATTGCTGCAAAGTAGGAGTGAACTGAAATCTCGAAATCCTCTCATACCAAGTCCTTTTCGTTACGTCGAATCATATCATCAAACTCCCCACAGGCGAGAACTGGCCCCTCTGAATGTGGGTTCGGTTCTAGCCCCCAAAGCCATTCCAACACAAATCTTGGCACTGCTCAGCCTTGCCCGGCTGGACTTTCTTCAGTCTTTGCTCGTGGCCGGGGGGACGTCTTGGGGGCCTGTCAGGGCGGAGCGACGACGTTTGCGATGAATCTGGCTCCATCGGGAAGGTGAGGACCGGATCCGGTTTTGGACCATACGCTGGGGTTCCTGGAAGAGGCTCAAATCCGTCTCTCACAAGGCGGCGAGCAAACACGTCGACCTGGCTTCCGATTCAGTTTCTGAAAACATGTCTGACATGTTTGGTCGACCTGCGCTTCATCTATCTTTCTTCGTGCATTTATCTTAGACATTCATCTCAGATTTGCGGCCCCACCTCTCCGTACTTCTTTTTCAACAGCCGCACCATGGTCGGAAAATCCTGCCCGCGACCCTTCGCTCTTGGGTGGCAAGCCTGCAGCCAGGTGCCTGCGTAAAATTAAAGCTAAGGCTGTGTGGCACACATAAAGCCAATCATCGGCAGATCTTCCCACGGATGATGCGTTAAAGCTCATCCCTGAAAACAAATCGGTGAGCGACACGTCGCTCTTTGCTGATCACGGTCGTCAAATGGCCCTTTCTTTCACACCAACCTGGGCCATCCTTATAGCTTTGTCATGTTCTCCCGGGATTTCCCTGGCCACAAGCAGAAAGTGGCAACCAAGAGAATACGTTGTGGTTAGACTTGGGTGAAAGATGGCACAATTCAATTTGGTTCAGTCATCCTCTCCCACATGGATGGCTCGTCTGTTTTTGGAGTTGGTACCGCGCTTCCCGCCGTTTGGTTGGTCTTCAAAGGGAACCTAAAGGGCAACGACCCGTTTTGGGTCCCGACCAGTACTCAATTCTTTCAGACACATATTTGCCCATAGGAAAACGGCAATTTTTTGGGGCCCCCCCCCAAAGGACGCACCCATAATGCTTTTGATAGCCAAACGCCCTCTCCTTGGAATTCTTCTGGAGGATGTTCTCGATACTTTCCTTGGAGGCCTTGGCAGGCTCGTGTTTCAGGTAGAACTCCTGGCCGCCAGAGAGCCGCAAGTGGCTCAAAGAATGGGATCCATCTCTCTGGGTTCGTCATTTGTTTGATCCAAAGAAACACGACATGTTTTTTCTATGAATGCTTCTGAAGGGGATTTCTTGGACAGAGGCGCATCTAATCTTTGCCATTGGCTGAATGGCAAACCTTGCGTGCTGGTCAAACTACTCGTGTTGATCCCATCAGCCGCAACACCGGGAGCACGCATTTTCATCTTATTCATATGTCACCCTTCCTCCAATGCTTCGCGGGTGACGATGATGTCATCCCGATCGGCCTGTCAGGTCGTGCGGCATCAGGATTCGAGCGACGCAGGAATCTTTCAGTGGCAACTCGCCTCTGGTGTAACTGCGCTCCCTACTTCCGGACCCCTTGTTGGATGTTCAAAAGGGAAACTTTCGGGTTGTCCACCCCTTGCGGACCCCTGCTCACTCCCTGGATGTCGACCCCGGGGGTAGGGCGGACCGCAGGACACATCCACTCCGAAGGACCTCCTCTACCAGCTTTCTCGTCCACTCCCGGAGGGAATACCTGGCTGAGGATAGATCCGTGAACTGCGCCAAGCACCATATTACACCTGCACAAATCCAGGATGGCTTTCTTTTGGTCATGCCTTTGGCATGGCCTTGCGGGATGACGTGTGTTCGCCTCAGATCCAATCCGAATTGATCACCTGCGCAAGATTTCGACTTCCCAGGTCTCACATTGGTTTGCATTTCAAGTCTAAGCTCCAAGATTCAAATTGGTCTGAGCAGAAAAGCTGTGCTCTGAGAGCTGAACAAGTTCAGTGATCCCTTGCTATAAGTGAAGCACTTTTAGAGACATATGTCACACCCCTCTGAACGCTACAGCCAAACAGTCTTTCAGGGTATGGCTGGACACCAAAAGAGACGTCATTTTCTGGCTTTCTCCAAAGCGCGATTGAAACCCAATGCATGGCTTAGGGCACTCGTCGGCACCAGAGAACTGGTGGCGCTTCTTGCCACGCAGCCAGAACTGGAAGGTTGGCATGGAACCTGAGGAGCCGTACACGAGAAGGGACCGGGGCCCATAGTGAAAGCCTTGACAGAAACAAAACATGAAATGTATATTGTACACCTCTATGTGGTTGTTAAAAACCAGGTTGCAAAAAGCAATCTTGAGAACCCCTCGAAGTGTTCACCTCAAGAAACGTGGGAATCCTACGTGGCACCTCATTTGCTGCGAGCAACGGATGCCCTGCTGTCCGGCCAGCTGTTGGTTCTTCGCCACATCCACCTGAACGTGGCGATCAGCACACGGGGCTAAGCAAAGCCCAACAGCAGCAGTCACTCATTTGCTGCGTTTGGCACCAAACGACGCTCAACATGAGAAGGGAAAACAATGCACCCTTGATCTCAGCAGTCGGAGCTTGTGCAACTTTGTGTTGGGATGCTGCATGCTGCAAATGCAACTATGCCAGAGCAACGACGCCGATCCACGTTGGTTGTGATTCTCGCATCCCTTAAACATGTGCACGCTTGTGTTGCATCATCTCTTGGGAGGATATTTTGAAGACACGACTAAAGCGAAATACCGTTGACAAAGCAAACACGAAGTACAGTATTTTGCCCAGCTCAGTGACAAAGCAAACACAAACAACTGCTGGAAAGGTGACAGTCTGGCTTGATGCTTCCTCCATGCTGGGCCATTGCACTTGGAGCAGAATGGCCCAGCCGCCTTGCGGAAGTATGCCTTCCCCGCATGCTCCTTGGAGATCTTTCGGAAGACGGGGGCGATCATGTGACAAGGTCCGCAGGACATGCCTCAGAAGGCGCAACAGGCTTGCACTAGCCACGAGCAACATGCCAGGCGCGGCATGCGATCTTGGGGCTTTTCTTCGCGTGCCCTTGGCCCCTTCAGATCTAAGGCGGATGGGCCCCTTGTCACTTTCAGAATTTCACCCCAAAACAAGGAGGTATGCTTGCACCAATCACACACGCGACACGCGCTCACACAGGTTGTCCAAGAGCTGCAACTTGCTCAAGGCTCAAACGTGTGAGCAGCGCCCCTGAGGCTGCAAAGCTTATTTGGTGCTATCTGCTAAGTCTGAGCCTCGTCTGAGCCTCACAAAACCCTTTTGCCGTCCCTTTGGATACAGTGCTCTTTTATGGCGTGGAATTTGGAGACCGTACTTGGCCAGGGTGCTTTCAGAAGAAGTGACCAAGGCTTGTCCGCTTGTCCACACGGCCATTCAAATGCAACAAGCGAGCTGCAAAGGATATACGGGATCATTAGTCTTCTGAGTCCCCTTTTTGTTTGCTTGCTTGCTTGCTTGCTTGCTTGCTTGGTTTTGGGCTTGTCAATTTGTGTGTGTGTGTGCGGGTGTGGGGGGAAGTGAAGTTTCGCAAGTCCCCCTATGTCCTTATGGATATGTTGGCCGACTGCGCACGCCGTGCTGCTATAGAAGTCCAGGATAATGGGCCGCCCATTGGCCTCTGCGAGAAGATCCTTGAATTCCTGGCGGGTTTCATCGATCCCACCTCAGGCTGGCTCGTCTTTACTGGTTTGGAGTTGGTACCCCTTTTGTGGTGGTAAAGGGCAAACCAAGAGGAAAACTTTGGCAGGTCCCCGAAACAAGGACACCCCCACGTCAACTTCAGGCAGTTCTCTGCAGCACTCGCCGTGTTGAATTCTAGGGCTTGCCTCACCTCCAATTCCACTAAGGGGGTGGATTTCTTTCCTGGATCAACGCAGGCGCTCATAAGGCATCTGCACAAAAAATCAGCTGCAGGCTGCATGGCTTCTTTCACCACATGCGAAATGCTTGCACCAATGTCTTGAGTGGTCGACAAACACTCAACTCAGGAATGCCAAAGAATTGGTCAAACTCTGAATCTGCTCCTGCCTTCGCTGTGAACAGCTCTTTCACAGCAGCCACTGATTGCCTTGGACAGTGATGCATCTTTTGCTTCTGGAATCCGCATTCCAGGCGCATGAATTATCGTAGAAATGCCATTGCCTTCCTCCAACAATCAAGGACGCGGACAGGAATGCTTTAAGTTCTGTCGTTGAACAGGATTGCGTAGAATTGAGAATTGGGACACCTGAGCATTTAGGACCTTGCTGATGTTGAATTGCGGTATATAGGGTGCTTGCTCAGAAATCAGAACTCACCCATTTCAGACCGGTGAGCCTTTTGCCACACGGGTCGCCAGCGGCCAGAGCTGCAACTCTTCTCCGGCGCGAGCTCTGGTTTGACTGTCTTTCTCTGCGCATTGACGCACCCTCCAATACTTGCCCGACACAGTTGCCACTCAGCTTTGCCTGCGGTCTCCCAGCCTCGCAGCCCTCTTGGCAACCCAAGCATATTCTTGAGACTGAGATATGGGTGTGGCTCAAAATTAAACAGGAGGGGTTACGCAGGTTTTGGTCCATGTTTCCACTTCCCAGGGTTCCATTTTGGTACCGGTTTTTTGAGCCACAGCCATATTCCCAATCTACAAGCCACGGACCATGAAACGATGGCAACTCCGTGTCCCATGCTCCGATCTACGCTGCTAGCTGCTCGGCGCCCCAGAGAAATCCCCCCCCAATGGGTGCGTATTTCTTTGAGGGTACTCTCTTCAGCTTGGTTCACAAGGACGCCATGGGGAAACCTACCATTTTGGGTCAGCTTTTTTTTAAAACATACCCAAACTATTCCAAACTAAGAGTCTTGCCTGGGCAAAGAAAGTTGCCAATTTGCCACAAGTACCATCTTTTAACCCATAAGGGCAACCAAACACGAGGCGACGTGACAACTTGGGCAACCAAACACTGCCACCAGCGCCAGCAGGAGTCTCATGGCCTGGAGCGTGGATGGGCAAATGTCTGTTGGAAGCAGCGTAGAATTTGGTGGTAAGGGTCCATTCCAAAGGGAATGTTATGATGTGTTATGGTTCCAAGATGTTCCAAGGGACAAGGGTTCATCCTTGCCACAGATGTCCCTTGCCAGTTTGGCAAGGGTTCATCCTTGTGTTATGGTGAAATCAGTGGCCGCAATGATGAACCTCAGGTCAAGTTGGCCGTGCAGGGAAAGCCGATCTGTGTCTTGCAATGATTGTGTGGACGTGCACGGGTTTGCTCCGGCTGCCTTGGCCCAGGCTGTCACAGGTGGGGCAAAGCAAACCAGGACGGAAAGCGTTCTACTGCATCCATTAAGTTTAGGCCAAAAACATACTTCAACATTCATTGTAGCGAAACATCCTCGAATCCATTTGTTTGAACCCATTTAGATTTTAGGGTTGCAAAATCAAGTTCATGGCTCCTGTTCTTGTTGTTCTATCGTCCGGGATCTCCTGTGGCCCTCGTGGAGCAACATTCAACCCAGAAGCTGCCGTCGGCATATTTGCCAGCGCCCAGCCATAAGCCCAAACAACTTTTCAACGGATGGACTGAAAGGGCAAGCCCAAACCCGGCGGCAGGATGGTCGCTGGCTCATGTTTAAGTTGTTTAAACATTTTGCTGGCTCACATCTCAATGGATTCAACATGTTGATGTTTAAACTTTGATTCAACAGCACTTGATTAGACGTTCCATTGACACACACAGTGAGAAACCCACACGAACTGTTGGGGTCTCATTCAAGTGCATCAAGTTGCGCCAATAACACTTGTTCAAACGTTCCCTGAGCCCCTGAGCAAGAAGCAGCCTTTTGGCAGGAGCAAATCAAAGCAGCAGCAGCAGCAGCAGCAGCAGCAGCAGCAGCAGCAGCAGCAGCAGCAGCAGCAGCAGCAGCAGCAGCAGCAGCAGCAGCAGCAGCAGCCATCAACACCACCACCGCCACCGCCACCACACAGGAAGGAAGATGCAGGTGTTGGGGCTGTTTGAGCGTAGTTTAAACGTTTAAACATGTTTGAATGGTCTGCCAAGACAATGTCTACGTCAGGGGCCGTTTACACATCGTATAACCGTTTCAACATGTTTAAATTGTCCGCTTGAACCACTAAACGTTTAAACATGTTGAGCTGTTCGCCTAGACAATGTCTACCTCAAAGGAGCGGTTCGCCAACAGTTTCTGCCTCGGCGGCGCTTGAACATAACTTTAAATGGGTTTAAGCGGTCCGCCTAAACAATGCCTCCAAAAGGTTTGAACGCTTCAACATGTTTAGCCGAAACAGTTGCTCTCTCAGGCCCTCAGGGGTTCTTGAACCTGACTGTGAACCCAAAGAAGAGTCCGAACGAATCCACCCTCACAAACCGTTCAAACATGGTTAAGCGGCCCAAAGCAGTTGCTGCCTTGGCTGTTTGAACGGTGTCAATACGATTCAACACATTCGCACACTATTTCCCTCCCCGGGGCCCAGCGCGCTTTCACATGGCTGCGTTCTTGTGCCATACCGGGTTCTTCAGAAAAAAAAAGAGCAGCAAAAAGCGATTTGCAAAGCAGGATATGAGTCCTCAAGTCAATATTGAACCTGGCGGCTTGCAGGGTGATAACCAAAATGCCTTCTTTTCTGAACGCCTGCTTGAACGACCCAGCCTTCAACACCGAATTTAGGGGCAGGCATCTGTCTGTTTTGTAGATGGCTGGGGTTAATGAAGAACCCGGTACCGCTGCGGTATGGACTTATTAAAAAGATGTGTAAGCATCTTCCGGTTGGGATGCTGTTTAAACGGTTTGATGTTTAAACCTGTTTATCCCTTTCCTGCCTGGTGGATTTGCTCCCTGGCTGGTTAGTGTACATTTCTCCTTGCAGATGTCTGCAACATCCAACATTTGTCACACCGTGCGCCCTGTTTCAGTGTGAAAATGTCTGAAGGATGGGCATTTTCTGGAAAGTCGTGGCTTCCCTTCCCACCCTTCCCCCCTTTCGGCCTCTGACCGCCCTTTGGCGGTGTGCCTGCCGGTCTTGCGCACGAGCCAAACTCTAGAAATGATTCCTGAAACCGCCAAGACGAGATACTGTCCGTACAAGCGACTTGACCCACATGATCATGTCATCAATTGCCGCACGGCTTGTCTCAAAATGGGAACACTGGATAGTTTCCGCCCGGTGCTCCTAAGCCAGCGGATCGATATTGGGTTCCTCAAGAAAGGCGAGCTCACTACTAAGGCAAATACCTGGCCACCATCAGATCCGTTTTAAAAGCACCTTCAAAGACACAATCCCATGAGTCATCACAAGCTGCCACACTTGGCCCATAAGCACTCTCAATATTCCTGTGAATAGGCCCTTCCTGTCTCGCCAGTCTTGCTGGAACGTGTCAACAGGCACAATCAGCTGGCGACAAGCACTGGCGCTTTGCGGAGCGCGCAGCTTGCCGAAAGATGCGCTCTCATACCCAGCTTCTCAACTTCTCACGTCTTGCAGCCCGAAGCTGCCTTCACAAATCGCAAGACGCGCCTCAGCGCAAGCTGCCGTGCCTTGGATTGGCGCGGAAACATGAAAATGGTTGCTGCCAGGTCGTCCGCATAAGTAGAACTATTTCATCCGACCTTCCTGAAGAGAAATGGAAACATGACTATCCCCTTCACCGTTCCTCAGCTTCTCAGTCGTTATCCTCTCTTTGACAAGCCTAGCCATGAAGCAACCAGCGTCCCCCGCGGAGCTCACATTTCACAGTTTTACCTTCTGTGCTAAGCGGCGCGAAGGCGTTGGAAAACTGTCTGGGGACTAGCCCTTGAGCCTGAAAATCGTGGCGAAAAAAGCACAAGTGGCTTCTCTGCTTTGTCAACAATTCTTCGCTACACAAACCAAGCCCGAGCTCGGGTTGTGGCACGCTGCCAAACTTTACTACTACTCCACTACACAAACGAC